AAAAAAAAAAAAGGAAAAAAAAAAAAAGGGGAAATCTCTACCCAATCCAACCCAGGCATTCGCAGTCTCTGTGCCTATTATTTGAATCTAAACCTGCACATCCAACTTTCTTTGATCAACTACAAGCTATATCCAAAATGATCATAAGTAACATTTTATACAAATCAGATTAAAGAACCCAATTAGCCATGTTAGCAACTTCATATCACAGGTTAATCTTCTAATTAGAACAAAACAGAGACCTTACTAGTTGCTACTTCGTCTATAAGACTAATAGGTAGCATTCATTAGCGTATCAAAGCTGCATTCCTCCATTTAACTTCAACACTCATAATACAAATGACATTTTATCCATTTCATTAACTGCAATAGTGCATCGAGAACAAACATCAATGTATCACATCCTGCGTCATTGTGTATGCCGTAGAACATTTTCCAGCTACTAGAAGATGGTTAGAAAGAACTAAATAACAAAGATGAATCAAGAACTTCTGTCCAACGAAAAATTTTCTGCCAACAGAACTGCCAAGACAGTGCGTTCCATGAAAACCGAGCAACAATAAGATCCAAGTAGTCAAAAAAAGAGAAATTTTTCTTTAGTCTACTAGTATTACAACTAAATGGCCATCTTTTTCCAAAAGCAGGGCCTCCTGTTTATTTTGCATTGTTTTATGAACGAGAAGTACATGTTGATGTACGAATTTTAGACAAAAATGAGCTTTCACCGCACTGGCTGCTGGTTGTAATGGTTCTTCTCTTTCTTCTTTGCTGCAGCAAGCTTTGCTCTCCTAGCAGCAGCCTCTTGTGCAGCAGCTTTAGCTGCAGCATCAATTTCCTTGCTAGATTTTTTCTTCTTCATTGATGCCATCTTCTTTAGCCGCTCCTTCACATCAACATTACTAGCATCCTCTAAATGCTCTAATCCAGCAGCTTCCTCGGGCTCATTACTGACATCTGTGTTGTTAGGCTGATCCTGTGAATCTTTGACCTCCTTTGATTTATCCTTCTTTTTCTTCTTCTTTGCACTTTTGGACTCCCCTGGGGCACTTTTCTTGTCTCCATCTCCATTCTGCTCCCCATCTTTCTTTTCTTCTGCGGCATCTGAGAAACAATCATAAATGATCAATCTTTGATGTGCCCAGATCAGAATATATGAGAAAAGCCTTTGTTCTAAACTACAGATCCTTTGTTCTAAACTACAGATAAACTCTAACATGCTTGCTTTCTGTATTTATCTGATCATAATTGAATATTATGATAGTAATATGAAGAACACAGGATAAAAACACAAGCCTTAAGCTATAGAATATAGCCATCATACTCAAATGTGGCCATTCATGCTTGATGGACTCAGGGAGCATACATGTAAGTAAGCACGCAATAAGTGAGCATGCACATTTTTTTTCTCTCTTCTTTTCTATTTTGTTGAGCCCAGGAGGAAATGTCTGAGGCCATTCTGCAGGAGTCCCAGAGAGGGACTTAGCTCATCTCAAAATATCTGTCTGAAACCACCATAGTCCTAACCTCTACGTGTGGAAGATGCTGCAAGGAACCAATTTAAACAGCACAATAGAAAGTTTTAAGAAGTAAATGTGTTAAAATTACCACGTGACTCATCTTGGTCGTTACTCTCTTTTTGTGCAACTCCAAAATCAGCTAGAAGGGCCTCAAGCTCTGCAAGTTCCTTCTTTTTCCTCTCCTTTTTTGAAAGTTGCCTTTCCGTCTCTTTAGGTGCCACAGAAACTGTGGTAAGATTCTTTGCTTCAAGCTCAATATGCACAGGAACCTCCGGTTCATGGTCATGCTCTTCCTCTACATCATCATCACCTTCATCTAGAATATCTTCTTCACTCTCACTATCCTGTTCCTATACTCCAAAATGGATAAGAGGATAATAAGAACTTAAACAGCAAAGGTGCTGGTGATTTCTTGTCTCACTACCATCTAGATAATTGAAACAAGAAATCACATCTAACAAGCATTCCACTTCTGACCTAAAGGCCAAAGCAGCAGTAGCATGATTTCCACTCTTGGCACAAACTTATAACATCACGTAATGCCTCATCTTTCAGAGTGTTTCACAGAGAACAGAACCAAAAACTTAAATGAAACAGCACACCCACAAAAGAAAAAAAAAAAAGGACAAAACAACAAGAACCAGGTGATATCTCTTCAAATCAGCCTCAGAAAGGCTCAATTTCTGAGTTCTAATTGAGAAACCCATCCCTAGACCATTTTCTGAGTGTTGTTCTACGGAAGAAGAAAATGGTAACCAGATTAGTAAAAGAGCTCAACTTTTACTCATTAATTTAAACCAGTAAGAAGAGTCTGAACTCTTGCCTAACAAATCATGTCAAATATAGCATTAAAAATCAAAATGACACACAATCAACCATTAATTCCAAAACCTTGCAATATCTCCTTGAACAAATGAATTAATAGCTTGAGATTTGCTTATAAAAAGTTAAGCTTTCTCACCTCCACATTGGATTTCTGGGATGGCTCAGCAGTGGTCCAGACGGGTTGAGGAGGCGCAGCGGTGGCGAAATAGTCATCGTCATCGTCGACATCGGCCCAGGATTTGACATTGAGGGGTGTCGGGGCCCAGAACACCGGCGGCTCAGGCTCTTTCTGCGGCTGCTGTTGGTGTGCCTTGGAGGATCCCTTTCCGCTCTTTGACGACCCCTTTTCCTTATCGGATTTCTTCTTCTTCCTCAGAGTCTCGAGCGCCGCAAACCCGTTGGTGTTGTTAATCACCAGCGATCCCTCGTCTCTCCTGCTTCCACCTCCCACCATTTTCCCAATTTCCCACAAACAGAACAACAGTCGAGTAACCGCGAAGATCAAGAAGAAAACAAAATCCCTTGGAAAAATTAATCAAAATCGAATATCCAATTCCGGTATGGATAGATAGGGGGATGGAGAAGGAATATTAAAGATAGCTCGAAGGATTGCTTTATCAAGAGGAAATTAGGGTTTGTTTGGTTGCTGTTGCAGAAGGCGGGGTAGGGTTGGCTAAACGTAGATAATGTAGACAGGGGATAAGAGCACGGAAGAGTGGCATTTATAGGGGCGGTTTTGCCAGTACAATTTTTTTTTTTCAGTTTTTTTTTTTAGCTGAGAATTTCTAACCTGTACTGCATTTATTGCTCTTTTTTTTCAATTATTTTGAATTGAAAAAGTAAAAAGTAATTTAAATTTTATGTATTATTTAATTAAAAATATGAATATGATGTTAGTGGTAAAAATAAAATTATTTTTTATTTTTTATAAGAATTAAATTAAAAACAATTAATACATTTTTAAAGTGTAAGTTAAATAAACCATTTTAAGTATTATACTATTTAAATTATATAATGTAAATTATTTTATTGATGAGATGGATTTTAGATATTGAAGGCTCTCCTTTCATCTAATGATTTTTTAGAAAACTTTTATGGTTTTTACCCTTATTAGCAAGTTGTAGATATTTATGGACTTGGAGTAATTAATTATATAATTCAAAATAATTAGTTCTCCAATATAATTTAAATTATTAAATTTAAAATTTCATTTGACCCATTTGAGTTTAATTTGTTATTGACATGTTTAAGTGTTAGAGCTACCTTTCAAAAAAATTAATTTTTTTAAATGCATTATATAACATAAAGGTATATCTATAAGATTATTGATAGGTATTACTCTTTGAGTGCATGCAAGTTAAGACCGTTCAAAGAAGAAAAAAATATAATCTTCAGTATACCTAAAAATGGAGTACCAAATTACCAGCAGCTGTTAGGTTACCACTTCTTTAGTGCCAAGGTTTATGGTAGTAGTACCATCTTGGAATAGCTTGCGCGTATGAAACTATTTTTGTACTCAATAATCAAATATAAAGGCATATGGTTAGTGCTTGAATTAAAGAATTTATAAATAATTTTTTCCTCATAATTTCTATTTTACAAAGAGAAGAAGAAATTAGTTAAAAAAAAACCTGACGGTTTGAAAACCTCTACATCTCATGACTCAACATCAACATGACATATTTGTACAGTTTTCTTCAGCAAAATTATTTGAATTGCCATTTTTTAATTAACATAGATATACCTATATATATACATGGTAAAAACTAACATTTTTGTTGGGGAGGATAAAGGAATATTTTCTTCACTTCTCATTGTTTCAAATACCTTGTACAATTATACTTAACCGTACATGTACATATACGACCCAGAAAATCCTAATGCTGAATCTTATCATACCTCACTAGCATGGAATTTTTTTGAGAAAAATGACAGCTAGAAAGAATAGGACAAGAAGATAAGGGAATCATATCATTTTCTTTCTTTTTCCATCAACTCGTATGTTCTTTATTGACTATGCCACAAAGAATAGGAAAACCATAAGGAAAAAAATCAATACAAAAAATATCTTGATCATCAGCCACCTGTTAGATGATATACTGTTTAGGTACTTGAGCAAAGCCCCCTGTGCTCCCTCAACATTTGCCAAGGTGTCATCCATGTTCTCGTCAATCCTGAGAATGAGGAGAATACCAGTCAGGTCAGGTTAAAAGACTCAGAGCACAATGTCAAAATAACTAGCCAAAATAGTGAAAGCATATATTTCAGCTATGGAATTCTTTCAGGTAGTCAAGATGGTTTTTGATCATTGCAAGAGAGTGTAAATGAGTCTAACTGGTTTAAATGGGCTTATCAACATCTGAATGATAATGGCATAATGCATTTGCCTGGTACTGAGGAACTCACTAGTCAGCCAACCCCTACAAGCATCTACTTCTGTTAAGGGTCTGGATGTTCTCTTGTGGGTGACAACTTAATAGCCTGAGTTGTACCACATCAACAATCAAACATTACTAACCAATGGAGATAATGTTGGTCTACATTGTTTATTATGATGACTTCTTAGAATTCTCCTCAATACCCAAACTATATCATCTTGCAGCTTCATATCACAATAATAATAATAATAATAATAAAATAAAATAGATAATTGATTCCCTTTTTGGGGTGGACGATCAAAACAAAAACTTTAAGGTCTCTTGGCCCCCCCCCCTCCCCACATCCCACCACTGCATGGAAAGGTGCATACTATAATACAAATACAAAAGGATCTTTCTAGGTAGCATGTGATTGATTAAAGTAAAAGAAATTTGAAACAATTAAAGTGAATGCCAGATACCGAGTTAAGATAGCTAGAGAAAATAAACCTGATAGCAATCTCTCCTTGCTGGGAAACCAAAGTTGCCAACTGGTTGAAAATGCTGCTCAGCTCATGGATAGTGGACTCCACATTTTGAAGAGCTTCAGCTCTGCTCTGCATGTAAGTGTCTTGCAATGGAACGAGTTGCTGTTGCTGTTGTTGCTGCAGCAATGGCTGGCTATCCCCTTCCATTTGCTTTCTGCATATTCAAACCATGAATGAGGTTCCTTAAAGGCATAAATTCAATGTTCTTTCAGTTCATACAAGAAATGACAACCGGCTAGATGATATATTTAAAGAAGTGACTCTGAAACAAAAGTAACGAGCAATGGTTGATTCTTAAGGCACCCAAACAAAAAACATCACATACAAAAAGAAAATGAATAATTGAAAGAAATGACTCTGGAAAGATTGGATGCAGTTTTGACACACTGGTAAATACAGGAACAAATCTAATAAACAATCTTAGACAGAATGGAAAAGAAACCATAATAATTGTAAGAAATTTGACATTTCTGAACATAAATCAAGATTAAAAATCGGTAAATTATTCCCACAATAGTATATCATAACTCATTGGTTTACAACACTGCACACCAATTGAAACCGTAGAACAAGCTTTACCTAGGAAACAACTGAGATGAAGATGATGACCCATTAACCCATGGAGGAGGGTTAGTTGTGGCGCCAGAAGCAGATTTGGCAGCCAGAGGGCGCTGACGAACAAAAGGACTTGCAGAATCCTTTGAAGCTGTGGACGAAAACAACTGCCTTCTATTCTCGTGAACCTTAAGATTCTGCATAAAGCCATTAGAATACCACAAGTCATTTTTAGATACAAATGAAAATAACATATTAAGATACCATCAAAAAAAGACCAATTAGGCAAGCAAACCAGACTGGTAGACTGATCAAGATCTCCATTAAATCTTGCCCTTACCTCTGTTCTCATGGTGAGGACTTCTTTGAACTCCTTAGTAGCACTCATCAACCGATTCTTCAGGTCATCTACGACTGTGGTCGAGTGACTAGAAGTATCACTAGAGACACCACTTTCATTTCTGGCATTGCAAAAGATTTGAAGTTCTACTACTGCAGAGTTAAGTGCAGTGATATCCTGCTTGATAACAGCTGTGAGTTCCTGAATTTCCATGGTGGGATCATCAAAAACTGAAGTTCTCTTTGCCACTGAAGAACATACAAAAAGGCATTATTGCTTTACTTAACAAATCCATACATCCCAATGTGTATAAAAGAATCTGACAACTACAAAGACAACAAAATAACCCATCTCCCTTACAATTTAATAAAGCTACTTACATTTTGCTAACTTTGCAAGCTTCTGCGAGGTCTGATGAATCCCAAACCCAATCTTAGACGCCCTCCTGTTAAACTCCGACTGAAGCGCAACTGCAGATCGCTGTTCCTCAGCCTTGGAACTCCTACTCGGCCCATTTTGCCCAGGAACTGACGAAATCGACTTCTTTACCTTTTCTGCTATGCTGTGGAATTCTTGCGTCCTGTCCCGAAATGAAGATTGTGCAGGTTTCACAGGCATTTTAATACTTAACCAAACTCCACCTTCAAAATTGAGTTCCTACAATACAACCCAGTTTACACATATCAACCTCCCTAATCCTGGAATCAAAAGCTCGATTTGATCAATTTTATAAGAAAACTAGCATAGGTTACCTCAGAATGGAGATCGACTTGAGATCTGGAACCTAACCCGCCGAATCGGGGCTAATTTTGCAGGAACATCCTACAATCTTAACCTAAATTCAATGGCGAACCAAGAGAAGCACTAGATCTAGATCGAGATCGCCTGGGTTGTGCTGGAATCCAGATGTTGATGTTGATCTGATTAGAGAGAGTGGAGATTTTGGGTACCAAAAGCTTCCCGTCGTTGGGATTGGGAATTTGCAGTAACGTCCTGGATCCCGTATTTTCTTCTGTGGGGGACAAAATTATATTTTTTAAGCCCTCAAAGTTTACCTTAAATCACTGATAAGCCCGTCAACTTGAAGAGTGACAAATAAGTCCTTATTCTTTGTAGACAAAAACGCTTGATTCAAAGTTAAACATGGAATGGAAGTCAGACGTCCCTCTACTATGGAAGGCTAATGGTTGTTTTTGTTTTGTTCAACTCTTGGTGATTTTCATTCATATCATAGACATACATTTAACTCATATTAACATTGAGCAAATTGGTAAATTTTTTTTTTTATGAATAAAAATGTATTATAAACTATGAGTACAAGGGGTACTCGCCTATTACTTTAGGATGAGTGCTGTGTCATATTAAGAATGAGTAGTACATAATTTTGGGAATTGACACTAGTCACTAAAACAAAAAGCAACAGATTTCAATTTACCTTTTATCCAAGCAAATGTTTCGGTCTTCACTAGCTCGATTAAATTGTCCTCATCCCATTCAAGTTTATTGAAAGCAATTCCATTTCTAAAATACCAGATGGCCCAAGTAGTAATAAATATGGAGAGGACCCAACAATCTTGAGGGACTGGGAGTGACCAAAGCTGAGTAAGTAGATTGGGGGCCTTGTAAGGAAAAACAAGAAAAAAACCCCACCAACAACATATGCTGCTCCAAATGCTTTAGGAGTAAATGCATGTGGCAACATTATGATTTGCATCCTCTAAATAACCATTACATAGCACACAACCAGACCTAGATGCTAAGTCAATACCACGTTGGATGAGATTGTCCTTTGTGGGAAGGTGATTTAATAGAAGACGCCAAGAGAAGACACTGACTTTTATGGGTATAAGATGACTCCATATTAGCTTGCAGTAGATTTTATCCAGACAAGAGGGAGACATGTCAAGAAAAAGATATGCAATTTTTGTAGTATAACCAGCAGGGCAGTGCTTCCATATAAATTGATCTGATTTTCCTACAGAGATGTTGACATTTTGCAGGATGTCTTCTAGGATTTGAAGCTCATCGAGTTCTCTTCCAAAAGGGGGTCTACGCCATTGGAGAATCCATCCCTCACCCTTGGTTGGTTTTAGATCAGCCACCAATAAGTTCTCGGCAAGAGTGAGCTTGAATAGTCAAGGGAAAACAAGCATTAGTAGAGAAGTTTCCACCTAAGCATCTTTCCAAAATCTGGTTTTGTATCCATCACCAAGCTGACGAGAGAAACCTTAAGAGAAGCACTTGGTATTTCTTTCACAATCCTTGCTAATAGATAAAATATCCTTCCAAATTACAGATATTTTTGAAGATGTAGTGTTGGAGATTGAAACAGTTGAAGTGCCACTATAGTACTTGCTAATAGTTATCTTCTTCCACAATTTCTCATATTCAGCATCATCATAAAACTTATCCCACCACTTTCCTAAAAGGGCAATATTTTTAATAGCAAGGTTTGGGATGCCAAGGCCACCCTTATTTTTTGCTAGACATACCCTTTCCCAGTTTACCCATGCAATCTTCTTAGACTCATCTGAGGTCCCCCATAAGAAGTTTTTTTTTGTATTCTAATGAGCTCTTTTAAGATGCCTTTTGGAACTTTAAAGATAGAGAAGTAGAATAGAGGTAGAGCGGAAAGTACCGACGTGAGAAGTGTGATGCGGCCACCGATTGAAAGAAGTTTTCCTTTCCAAGATGCCAATTTTGATCGAAACTTTTCAATCACTAGCTTCCAAAAAGAATGATGGTGAGGTTATTATAAGAATAAACATATACATAACTGCATGCAACTTACATAAGCATATATAGCCTACCTTATTAGCATCTAAATTGACATAAAGATAATATACGTCATCTAGTTACATTATAATTCTCTTAATGTGCCAAAAAGATAGGATTTACGTAGATGGCAAATTATAATCCAAACAGGTACAAAGTATTAACATTAATGAAAGAATCACTTCCCAAAAATATGCAATAATATTTATGAAAGGTTTTTGTTAATAAATTAGTTTCATAAAAAAAATTGAAATTACTTTAATCATAAAAAAATATACATACCAAAAACATGGTAAAAAGATCTTACCCGATCTCATTGATCATGTAAATTCATGTAAAACTCCTAGTACGATCAATAGACCAAAAAAAATTCAACATGCTTATGACCTCAACTTTTTACTTGAGAAAATTTCAAGGTAAGTATACTTATTATGTTTATCAAATTAAATTACCACTGGTATTATACAATGACTTTGTGTAATAGTTAAACATATTAAAATATTGAATTTTTCTTTATTTTTTAATAAAAATAAAATTTAGTCAAAGATAAGTTTGCTTATGCATTTGACACGTGTCCATGATAGAAGGGAATATTGTTGCCACTTGCCAGCACGTAGCTTTCATAGTTTCCTTAATGGCGCCTACTTACCGAAAACTCAAAAGCTCCGTGGCATTTCTGCTATTTTAGGTAAACTTCAGGGTCAATTAAGCAATACAAAATTAGAAAAGAGAAATAAAAATTTCATTTTTCCTTTACCAGATTTCATGTTCTAGCAATATTGGAGAGGCTTAACCACCGCACATTTCTCTAAATCTGGACCCTCCACGTGTCAAGAGAACTAATATTGACGGTATACGTAATTTCCTCTGGATTTTTAATCGTACGGAGTGATGTACCGAACAAAACCCGCCGCCTCAAATTCTCAATCTAACGGTTATAATAGCGACACGTAGAGAATCACAGGCTGGCTGAATTTTCCAATTTTATCATCTTAAATCCATTTTTAATTAATTATTGTTTTTTTTTAAAATTTTTGGCTCACTGACGCTCGTGAATCCAAAGGAAACCCTAATTAGCTCTCTCCCGTCTCTCACGGTAAAAAAAAAGGGGAAATTTATTTTTCAAAAATATCGGGAAATTAATTTCAAATATCGACAAATCCATTAGGGTTTCAAATCAAAATCAAAATCCCTAGATTGCAAACCCTAGCCTGCGATTCGATTTTGTGATCTTGACGATTTGGAGAAGGAGATTGACGTTTGGCGGTACACCGACCCAGGTACGTATTCGATTTCAGTTGATTTTTTTTTTTTTTTTGGGGGAGGGTTAATTTTTGAGTTCGTAGCATGTAATAATAGATTAAAGAGGGGAATATGAGGGTTTGATCGATTGATGTTACTTTGGTGGGCAGATCTGTAATGTGTGGAGGGATGTGTGATGGGAATGTGAAGATTGGGGGATTTGGGATTTGGTGTGTGGATTGAGGAGTTGTTGATGGACAATAATAGCATTGGAGCGCAAATTCCTAAGAAGTCGAGATCTTTGGATCTTAAGAGTCTCTATGAAGCTGAAGATTCAAGGCAGCCTCAGAACAACAGCTTGAAAAGGAAGGACAGTGGAGTGTCGGGCGATGATGACAAGAGGAATAAGAGAAAGAAGAGGAGGAAAGCTGTACCTGTGAGCAGTTTTAAGGATATTGATGATCGTAGCAGAAAGAGTTCAAATCAAGTGTGTGATGGTGGTGTGAGTGCAGATTCACATGATTCTGAGGGCTCCAAGAAGGCGAGATTGAGTCAGAAATTGAAGAACAGTTCTGGCTTTAATGGCATTTCACTTAATTTGGATCATAGTGCTGGTGGAATCCCCAGGCGTAAACGTGGATTTGTGGGGCGGAATAAGTTTGAGGGCAGTCAGTTGAACTCTCCCGGGCAATCTAGTAATGTCCTTGTTAATCAGACTGCAAAGTTAACTAGTGATGACTCAGGCACTCAAGATGATGAGTCTTCAAAGGTTAGAAGAAAGAACAAGGGTAAAGCTGATCACAAGGAAAATATACACAGTGAGCAATGCTCAGCTCAATGTGTGAAGGAGGAAGAAGGTCTTGCTGGTCATTCAGTTGTAAATAATGGTAGCTCCTTGAAAAGATCACGGAGAAATCCTAGAAAAAGGAAGGCTTTGGGAGAGGATTGTAAAAACGTTGTGCCTGAGCCTTTGGCTGATTCTAAAATTAATATATATGACCATTTGCAAGAAGATGATGAGGAGAATCTTGAAGAGAATGCTGCAAGGATGCTATCATCACGATTTGATCCAAGTTTTGCTGGATTTTCTTCGAAAGGCAATGCCTCTGCATCACCATCGGTGAATGGGTTATCATATTTGTTATCTTCTGATCGGAATTGTGCTGGTCCTGGGTCTGAGTCTGCATCAGCTGATATGGCTGGCCGAGTGTTGAGACCAAGGAAGCATCATAAAGAGAAGGGAAGTTCAAGGAAAAGGCGCCATTTTTATGAAATTTTCTCTGAGAATTTGGATGCATATTGGGTACTGAACAGGAGAATCAAAGTGTTTTGGCCTCTGGACCAGAGCTGGTATTATGGCCTTGTTAATGACTATGATGAAGAAAAGAAGCTTCATCATGTAAAATATGATGACCGCGATGAGGAATGGATTAATCTACAAAATGAAAGATTTAAGCTCTTGCTCTTTCCTAGTGAAGCACCTAGCAAGTCTGAGCGGAGAAGGTCCCGGAGAAGACATAAACAATCTGATGAAGACAAGAGCAGGTTGAAGCTCAGCAAGGAAGAAAGGAGAAACTCCATGACAGAAGATGATAGCTTTGAGGGGAGTTATATGGATTCTGAGCCTATCATCTCATGGTTGGCTCGCTCTACTCACCGGGTCAAATCTTCTTCACTTGGTGCTCTGAAAAGACAGAAAACATCTGCTGCTCTATCTCCCACTTCTATGAGACCACAATCCTGTGGTGAAGCTGTAGATGTACATGGCTATTTTGATGAGGGCTCACTTGAAGGTGACAAAATTAAATTGTCCAGTGATGCTACTTTGTCAGATAGACTAGCTGTTGGCAGATGGGGTAGACAGTCTTCTTTTGAGAACCCCAGGTGCCCCAAAGGAGGCAAGCTTCCAATAGTTTATTTCAGGCGACGCTTTCGTGGGACAGGAAAAGCATCATCTCTCAGATCTCAGGGTGATCATTTTGGTGCAAGCATGCATGGATCTGTTCCGTCTCTCGACCCTTTTCTTTATGAGTTCAATGATTTTGAAGAACAAGGTATTTATCTGGAGAGATCAGATCCTAAAAGGGATTTGTGGTGCACTAATGATGCTGGACAATTGGAATTAAACACATCATTGTTAGGTACAAAACAATTCAGATTTGAGTTGAGATTTCCAGTGTTTTCTGTCCCAAAGAACGCACTTGGAGTTGAGAAGTTTGGGCTGTCTCATTCTTGGTCACCTCCTCAGACTGGTGTGGTCATGACTACATGGCCATTGGTTCGTTTGGAGATCCTTTTTGTTGATAATATTGTTGGACTGAGGTTTCTAGTGTTTGAAGGTTGCTTGAAGCAGGCTGTAGCCTTTGTCTTCCAGGTCCTGGCGGTATTTTATGAATCTACTAAACAGGGAAAATTTGCTGATTTGCAGTTGCCGGTGACTTCAATCAGATTCAAATTTTCTTGCAGCCAAAATCTTGTGAAGCAGCTTGTCTTTGCATTCTACAGCTTCCATGAAGTAAAGAATTCAAAATGGACTTTCCTGGATTCTAAGTTTAAAAAGCATTGTTTGCTATCTAGGCAACTACCACTGTCTGACTGCACTTATGATAATATTAAGGCACTTCAAAATGGATCCAATTGTCTACCATGTTCCCCTGCTTGTAGGGATTTCTCCTCAGTTGAGGTACTCTTTACTTTTTAATATGTTGATTTTATTTTGAATCCTTATGGTGTTATTTGGTTTTTAGGATGGCTCTAATCATCCCATAAAAGCACCCTTCTTTTAATTTTTAATAATTTTTTGGGTACATTTGATAATGGGCTATATAGGAGGGGATAGCCCCTTCCTATCTGACTCAAGAGGTTTGAACTTGAGATTTTCAAGTTGGAAGCCACCCTCTTGGGTGCTTTTTTTTTTTATTATTGTGTCTTTCCCTCTCCATTTCTGTAAGGCCCTGTTCAGTTGTAGTTTTATTTTCAGCTGAGATTGCTTGTGAATTTTGTCATTGTGGCATGGTTAGGCATTGTGGTATCATGATTGGTCCGTTCTGTCTCCTCTCCACATCCCCTGCCTTTCTTTTTTCGGTTTATTGTTGTTTACTAATGCTATTAACTTTTGCTGCTACCCAGGGTTTAAGGAAGAAGGTGTCCAGGCAAGGCATCAGCCTTATGGGTGTCTCCAGGGAATCTAGTCATTTGAAAGTTGGCCATTTATCTTCTAAATCTGACAGGCAGAGGAATCTTCCTCCATTTGCACTTTCTTTTGCTGCTGCACCTACTTTCTTTCTTAGTTTGCATCTTAAGCTACTTATGGAACATAGTCTGGCTTACATTGGCATGAGGGATCATGACTCCATTGAGCAACCTGGTAGCTTGGGCAGGTCAATTGTAGATGACAATTCTGTTGTGGAGAACTTGTTGCAAAATGTTTCTGAGAGTGGTCTTGAGAGAAGTTTGAAGGGCTCATCAAGGAGTGCTACTTCTGATGGATGCTTGAATTCAGTTAAATCAGATTTACAGACTGTTGATTTATCCATTTGCAATGGACAGTGCAAAAAATCCTCTTCTAAGTCCCAAAATGGTGATCTAAACATTGACGGAACCTCTGTTAATTCCAGTGAACTAGGAGAAGTTGGTGAGAATACTGCTGTACCATTGCAGAACTGCTACTGCAGTCATTTGGAGTCGGAGCAGTGTGTTTCATCATTGAAGCTACCAGTTGATGGTGATAAGACTAAAACCGGGTCAAATCCTGTTTATAATGGTATCAGGGTTGAGATTCCAGTCTTTAATCAATATGAAAAGCATGCTGATAGGGAGTTACATAGCACCCTACCCTCTAATGATTTGACTTGCAGTATGAATGGTGGTGTTATTCCAAGCCCAAACCCTACTGCTCCTAGAAGTACATGGCATCGAAATAGAAGTAGTTTAGTCAGTGGTTACCTTGCACATGGATGGTCAGATGGAAAGGCTGACTTATTTCACAACAACTTTGGTAGTGGATCCAGGAAGCCAAGAACTCAGGTGTCATACTCATTGCCTTTTGGAGGTTTGGATTATAGCACAAAGAACAAAGTCCATCCCCAGAAGGGACTTCCTCATAAGCGAATTAGGAAGGCTAATGAGAAGAGGTTGTCAGATGTTTCTAGAGGTTCTCAAAGAAACATGGACTTGTTATCCTGTGATGCAAATGTGCTAATTACTCTTGGTGACAAAGGTTGGAGAGAATCTGGGGCACAGATTGTACTGGAGCTTTTTGAACATAATGAATGGAAGCTTGCTGTAAAAATATCAGGGACAACAAAATATACATATAAAGCTCATCAATTTCTGCAGCCTGGCTCTACAAATCGGTATACCCATGCCATGATGTGGAAAGGAGGAAAGGATTGGATCTTGGAGTTTCCTGATAGGAGCCAGTGGGCTCTTTTCAAGGAGATGCATGAAGAGTGCTATAATCGTAACATCCGTGCTGCTTCAGTTAAAAATATTCCTATTCCTGGGGTCTGCTTGATTGAGGAATATGATGATAATGGAACAGAAGCAGCATTTGTTCGCAGTACTTCCAAATACTTTCGGCAGGTCGAAAATGATATTGAGATGGCTTTGAATTGTGCACAGATCTTATATGACATGGATAGTGATGATGAGCAGTGGGTTTTGAGAATTTGTAATACTTCAGAAGCTGGTGATGGCTGCTTGCTTGAAATTTCTGAAGAAATGTTTGAGAAGACAATGGACATGTTTGAGAAGGTTGCCTATGTTCAACAGCGTGATAATTTCACATCTGAAGAAATAGAGGAACTGACGGTGGGCGTTGGGCCAATAGAAACAGTCAAAGCTATCTATGAGCATTGGAGGCAGAAGCGGCAGAGAGTGGGGATGCCTTTAATCCGACATCTTCAGGTGCCTACAGTATTGCATGTCTACCTTCTTTTTATTGTTTTAGATAATGACTTAATTTCTATGCTTCTATGTAAGCAAATGGAGAGTGCACACTTCCCATGTAGATAGCTGCTGGATTTATTGAAACAGGAGTAGGTTAAGGGCACCTTTCTGGCAGATATATGCTTTGATTTTAGGTGTTGCCATATTCTTTGTTGCTATTAAGTTTTTTTGCACTTATAGTATCTGTTGTTTGGGCTCTGTTAGACTTGCTTTTTAAATGAATTCCAAAATGCTGCTTAGAACAAAGGCAGGACTATAATTTCAGGATAGGATTGAGGAGTTCTTGTTTGTTTATTTTCTTCTAATTCTTCCTAGAATTTCCTTAAAAATGTCTTCTAGCATTTCCTCTTTTATATATATATATATATATATATATTGTATCTTGGGTATTTCTCTTCTGACTTGAGGGGACTGGTAGTTTCTATGTAGTCCATTCTACCATGGTAAATTATTTGTCCTTTTGGTCAACAATTGCAATTTCGATGTAATTTTGTGAAGATTGAAGAGCCCTGAGACCTCAATTTGGAATGCCTAGTGTATCTTTGGTTTTGTTAACATTGTTTAATGCTGTTTTTCTTTCTTTTATTGTGTATAGATTCGTTTACATTTCAATATATGCTGCCTAACACAATGATCGATTTCTTGTATCCTTTTCAGCCACCACTGTGGGAAAGATATCAGCAGCAACTGAGAGACTGGGAGCTAGCCATGTCGAAAGTCAACTCTATGTTCCCAAATGGATGTTCGGAGAAGGTTTCATCCATTGAGAAACCACCCATGTTTGCTTTCTGTCTAAAACCGCGTGGCTTGGAAGTGCTGAACAAGGGTTCAAAACACAGATCCCAGAGGAGAATTTCAGTTTCTGGGAAAATTAATGCAACCTTGGGGGATCATGATGGTTCTCATTCTTTTGGTAACATCTATCACCATTTTACCTATACATTTAGCTGTTATCCTTTTTAGCCCCATTACAGTTCCCTCTCCAATGTCTGATTCTACTTAATTGTTGTCTCAGGAAGAAGACCAAATGGGATTGCTTTTGGGGATGAGAAGTATGTATATCCAGCATATAACTATGAATCTTTTGATGATTCCCCATTATCTCAGGCATCACCAAGGGTATTTTCACGACGAGATACAGGCAGCACTGGATATTTCTCCGTGGGCTATGATGGATTTGATAGGAATCATCACCAGAAACTTCAAAGAAGCAAGTCAAAGAAAGATGGACCTTCTAATGAAATGCAAATGTTGGCTTCCTACAATCAGAGATTAATGGGCAGGAGAAATGGAATAAACAGGTGGAATCTGGGCTTTTCTGATTGGCCAAGCCAGCAGCATTTCTACTCGGATGACTATTTAAAGCATGACCTTGAGCAGTTGGATGGTTCTGATCTTGATGAGTATAGGTTGCGTGGTGCATCTGCTGCAGCCCGCCATGCACTTAACATGGCAAAGCTCAAGAGAGAAAAGGCCCATAGATTGATGTTCCGAGCAGATGTGGCAATCCACAAAGCTGTGGTTGCCCTAATGACTGCTGATGCAGTTAAAGCTTCTTATGTGGGGTCAAATGACAACCCAAATGGTGATGAGTAGGATGATGTGATGCAGAAATTGGTCAGAGCTTTGAGTTGTGGAATTGAAGAGTACTCAAGGCATTGGCATTGCTTTTGCTTGCTGGTTTTGCCATTTCTTGTTATGGTTGCCTGGAGCCCTCGTTGATGGATTCAAGAGAAATGTTCTAACTGGATGATAGTTATGGGCAAAAACAGAAGCAGCTTTGCACTTGTGCTTCAAGTTGTTGTTGCGGTTTAGGTATGGAGCTCTACAGTTTTTCACCGGCTAGTTCTTTTTCCCACAGCAGGTCGGCAAACAGTTGTATTGATCCTGCGGGTAAGGGTTTGTATGGAATTGGAATTTTGGCTGCCGGTCATTTTGTACAGATTTTTTGTTAACCTTTTATCCTTAGTCTTTGATAGCGAAGTAGCAGTTGGCCAAAATAATACATCCATTACAGTTTCTTGTCTTACTGAAACGTTTGGAGCATTTCGTAGATATGTATTTTTCAAAAGAAAAGATGAAAAAAAAGAAATTTCCTGTAAGTAATTAGTATCTATCTCATAAATTTCCAGAGAGATTAATTAGTGCTGCTCTTTCGCTATATATACTGACATCGTTATTTTATTTGCTCTTTAATCGGCGAGACACAAATTGGAAGAAAATGATACGCGCATGGTGATGGTGTACAATGGTTGGTATAATATAACGGATCATTTTATGATTGATTTTTTCTGTCTAAAATCTATAGGTAAATTGAGAATGTCCTAGTGGCCACCTGTTTATAGCAATTATAAATTTATGATAAAGTTTGTAGTCATGAAAAATTTACAATTATAGCTTATGGAAATAAAATTTGAAGTTAAATTATTCAAAGGATTTTTTTTGTTTTGCCCTTTGCTTAGCATTGCACAATAACAACAACCTATTCTTGGCCTTGCCAATAGCAACAACAACCCACTCCTAGGCCTTGCCAACAGCAGCAACGATAACAGCAACAACCCCTTGGCTTTGCCAATAGCAACAACAACCCACTTCTTGGCCTTACCAGCAGCAACAACAATGGCCACACCAAGAACTACTAAAGACATGATTTCCTATTTTAACACGCAAGGCAGAAACTTTGCTGTTTGCCTGACAAGATCATTTTCAATGTAAACATGAGCTGGAAATATTGCTACTTGTTTTCGTTTTGTTTTGTTTTGTGTTTTTTTTTTTTTTTTTTTTTTTTTTTTTTACAAAGAAATGGAGAGAAAATCTAGAAGAAGATGAAGACCAGAACCGAAAATAAAGAGGAGTATAACACTCAATTCAAATTTTCTCATTAACAATTTCTGGTTATATATAGCGTTAAATAAACCTAAAAGCAATTCAAGAAGTTTCTTGTTTTGTCTAAGTAGCTTTTCTACAAAAGCAACCATAAAAGTATATCTAAAACAAGTAAAAGACAAC